AGGTTAGGTAGTACACAGTACTTCCTCTACTACTTACCGTTAGTTTACGTTTCGTTACTAATTATTGTTACTATAATAATACTTTCGTTCGATACTTACTAACCCCACCCCCCCCCCCCCCCCCCCAATGCCGCCGATATGGCTGGCACCTAATCCGGAATATGAGTAGCCAGCTTCAGTATAGGTATCATGTGCGGCAAGTTCTGGGTACTCGGAAAATAAGTATGTGTAACTACGGTCGATTCGAGGGTTAGGGGCTCGAGCTTAGTTGCCAGAAGATATAACTAAGATGTCCGAAATTGCGATGAAATCACAAGGCACGGTACCTTCAGCAAGAGAAGGTCGAATAAACATGTTTGTGCTAGTGAGGTGCATGGTGTAGACGCTACGGTCGATTCGAGGGTTAGTGGCCCGAGCTTAGTTGCCAGAAGATATAACTAAGATGTCCGAAATTGCGATGAAATCACAAGGCACGGTACCTTCAGCAAAAGAAGGTCGAATAAACATGTTTGTGCTAGTGAGGTGCATGGTGTAGACGCATGATTGTTTCACTCATATGGCCAGGGTTACATACTGTGACCATGCACGATAAAGGTTGGCCCTTAAATCGCGCATTTGCTTTAAAACCTGCGTGCCAGAATGAGCGCATCACATATTGTTGTGCGTGGGCAGCCCAGAATTGAGGCCATTGTAACGTTGGGTAGTATACTAACTATCCAAGCTACTATAACCTATAGTTAAATAAGCAAACCAAATCGATAGAGTTTAAAACTGGCATATCTACTAGTGAAGACAATATATTTTAGTCTATGATAAATAGTGCACTTGATCAGTGATAATGACTTAAAAGTTGATGATTGCACAGCTGTTACGATTCCAATCGTAAGTGAGTATGTCCCGGCAGTGGAGTCGTATTAGCCTAAGTTTATATTACAACGGAATATGTGTACCGCATAGCGTCGTATTGAGCTGACGTTAACTTGCAACCTGATTGTATACTGCGTAGGTAGTAAATGCTACTGTGTATTATAATATATGAATTGTCATGTTCGAAGTGAACTCTTTTTTAGTGCGCCTGTGTGGTTTGTTGGAAAAATGGTTCTGCCTTGCTTTACAATAATATACAGATATGCTTGCAAGTGATTAATGATTGTTTGCTATCTATTGAACAATACAACTGCTAGGAATCGACCGTTATCTTGTCGCAAGACGAGTTGACAGAACTTTTTATTGCAATTGAAAATTAAAGAAATGGCCCTATGCCAAGTTTCTGGCGAGATAGTAACTTATCAGATCAATCTACCTCGTACGATACGAACGAATGGTGGATATATGTACCAACCATACTACTATAGCGTCTGAAATTGTATGTGTATGGAGTTTGGAAAATCATATGATTGACTGCTAAATATACATAGGTGCCACACAAATGCACGTAAAATTGAATAGCTTTGATGCTTCAGATGATTATACAAACTTCAGATGATTATGAAAACTGACATCTCCACCCAAAAAGCAAAATGACTGCCGTTTGCATAGTTTTAAATAGTCTATATTCCGCTACTTTCATACGTTTAAACCAGACAAGAGCAGAATCAAACAACTATAGAGATAATCTACACATTTCATCGATGGTATATAGAATGAGACTCCATATATACACAGATCTTAAAGCTCTCAGTCAGCGGAAACATTTTCTCTAGAAAAGAACCGAATGGGGAGTTTTGGTACGCAGAATACACAACTACCAGCGTCTTTATATATTGATGAAATATTTGCATATAATCTAAACTTGACTGCAGATGGCGTGGAAATTTAAGAAATTAATATTCTGTGCATTGATTTGAACATACTTATGGCTATATAAAGCACATACGGGATATACTCCTCTTAGCACTATAAGTGTTCTCGTATCTCTAACAATAATGCGAAATTTTTATGCGCTTCAAGAAAAATGATATCTAGAT